GGTGTAGTCTGCCCCCAGCACGGTGCTGGGTGGAGAGCTCTGCTTACAGTGAGCACACAGCACCCATGTGAGCTTCCAGTCCTCTGCGGCTTAGGTTGAACCTGGCCTCTGACCGGGGGAGCCTGGTCTGTGCTTCTCTGCCCCTGCCTGTAACTACTAGCAGCCTCCTGTGCCTATCTTTCCCTCATCCACCCTGGGATCTTGTCATGTGAAGCAGCACAGGGGTCCTGTGGGACCCAGGCTCAGTCAGCCCTTCCCCACTGTGGTGTCCCTGCGAGGTCCTGCTCTGTGATTGTGACTTCAGGTGCTTGTACTGAGGTCAGGCACCAGCTGTTGATGGTGGAAGGCTTCTCTGGAAGCAATGTCCTGTATTTTCCTTGCTGCTTCCAACCCCTGATGATTCTTTCAGTCCTGATGCAGTTCTGCCATTTTCCAGCTCTCCTTGAGCAAAAATGTTGTTAGTTTCCCTTTGCCTCCCAGCTGGTGGCTAGCCACGTGATGTCAGCAGAGCTCTGCAGTCTCTTCTAGGTGGTGTGATCTGTTTATTCGGTATCACTTCATCCTATTTTCTGTCCTCTGTTGTGTCCTTTGTGGTTCCTGAGGAACATCCACTCACTGATTCCTCTCCGAGCTATCTCAGCAGGTATTTCAAGTCCCTTGATGCCTCTACTCAGCTAGAAGGGAGCCAGTTGGGAAACCTGTCTCTTGCATATACTCTGATAGTAAAAAGGCTAAGAACACAGATGGCTCTGTTGTTTTGGTTTTTTTTTTTTTGGTCTTTTTGAGACAGGATCTCACTATGCAGTTCAGGCTGGCTTTGAGCTCACTTTGTAGCCCAGGCTGGCCTCGAACTTGCAATGATCCTCCCGCCTCAGCCTCCCTAGTGCTGGGATTACAGGCATGCACCACCACTCCTGGCTGTTTTTGTATACACACATTCTCTTTATTTAAATTTTCAGTGCTACTTGTTCTGCTCAGGTTGTCAGAGATAGGGTTTCAAATTATCTGCATTTAAACAAGGAGGAAATACAGCTAGGAAGCAATAGTCTCAGATGGCATATAAGACAGGGAGGAAGCAAGTCAGCTAAAACTGGCTTGACTAGGCTTTCTTGGCCATTGCCCCACCCTGGCCTTGTGGTTTTCATTTTAAAACAGAAAATTTTTCTCTTTGTGGAGAAGAGCCACTGTGCCAGCTAGAATAATTAAAAAAAAAAAAAAAGTTTCCTCCCTCTTCTCCAAAATCAGAGGCGTAGCTCACAAGGCCAGTTAGTAAAAAACAAATAGATGGTGGCAGTTGACGCAAGCTGACATCCAGCCACATGATTCCATGCAGGCTCTAAGCCTATTTATTGGTGCCACCCAGTATGGGCCACCCTTTGTCTTAGAATCACAGCCTTAATCCCATGATCACACCAAACTGAACTGAGGGGAAAAAAAAAAGCCATTTACAGAACTGGGGTAAGTGGAGACCAGGTTAAAAGGAAGTAAACAAATGCAGGGATGACAAGGCATACCACAAAAAAATTAAGGGGAAAAATAACAAAAAAACAAAAAGAAAGGGAAAGAAAGTCTATTGTGCCTGGAAGAAAGCCAAAAGCCATCTTGTTCCCCTCCCCTACTCCCCACAGCCAGAAAAGCAACTAGTAGTTTTCTGCATGCTGTGAGAAGAGGCTCCTGTTTTCTCTTTTAACAAAAACCTTAAGCCTTCACAGTGCTTTTGGGAAGAAACAAAAAATGCACTCATTGGGCCTTATTTAGTCTCTTCCTGGCTAGCTACACCAAATAATGTTACCAGATAGCTCCTTCTTTTGTTTTTGTTTTTGTTTTTGTTTTTGTTTTTGTTTTGAGACAGGGTCCCGCTCTGCAGTTCAGGCTGGCCTTGAGTTCACTTTGTAGCCCGGGCTGGTCTCGAACTCACAACGATCCTCCTGCCTCAGCCTCCTGAGTGCTGAGGTTACAAGCATGCTCCACCAAGTCCGGCAGGTAGCTCCTTCTAAAACTGGCTTGCCAAATAAACTTTATCAGGTTTTGAGTTGCTTGCTTCTCCTTCTCAAGTTGGTCTCTGGGTTCTTCTCATCTCAAACAGAGAATTGAATCAAATGAACAAAAACAGTAGCAAAATTTGTTTGAAAAAGTAAAACTGAAGAATGAGTGAGAAACTGGCTCTGCAGAGTGAGCTTAGGCTGAATAAAAGAAGAAAAAGCAAAATAAAAGTACACTCTGGAGGAAGTAGGGCAGGTCATCATGAGGAACACATACCAAGCTCTTCTTGGCATCTTTTATACTGTCCAAATCTCAAGGAAATCCATGAGAGCCTCTACATACAGGTCCTGAGAGGCGGGGCTAGGATCCCATACCTCAGGCTGACAGTAGGTCTAGGCCACCCTACTGAGAACCTGCTGGAGTTCTCTCGAGAGGTCCACATGCAGGGCTTTGGGAACTGTTCTACACACATCTTCCGGGATCTTGTAATCAACAGGTCACTCCTACTTCCCCAGCAGTTTTGCCACACCCTAATGTCCTATTAAGATAGTTTTGTAACCTTGATTTTTCACCACTAGTCAATTATTAGAAACTCCACCCCCTCATAAATACCTCTTAAAGGACTATTCCTTTTTTTTTGTTCTATTTTTATTAGTACATTTCTGCAGTATATAATTATATTCATTGTGAGGAGTTGGTACATGTAAATAGCATGTACCAACATCTTAATTCTCCTTTCCCTTCCAGCTGTGTTTCTTTCCTCTTTCCCTCTCTCTCCATCTTTTTCTTTTTTTTCAGATTATCTGTCTTATTTTGTTCTTTTGTTTATATTTTGGGTTTCTCATATAAGGGAAACCATATAATGTTTAAGCTTGTGTGTCTGATTTATTTCACATGACAGTATGGTCTCAAGGTACATCCAGTTTCTTAACAAATGACTCAAGTTTATCCATTCATCTGTTGGACATATAGGCTGCTTTTAGCATTCATCTATAGGTATTGTGAATTGTGTTGCTATAAACATGGTTGTGCTTGTATCACTGCAGTATGATGTCATTAACTCTTTCAGCAAGATACCTAAGAAGGGACTAGCTGGGTTAAACGGGATTTCTTATTTTAGGTTTTTGAGGAATTTCTATACTGATTTCCATAAGGTTGTATTAGTTTACATTCCCGCCATCAATGAAGGGGTTCATTTTTCGCAGTATATTGCCTTTTTAATTCAAAAATTTTTTACACAAGAACAGTATATGAAGAGAAATATAGCAAACAGGTAAGTACTTTTGTGTGTGTGTGTTTTTTTGATACAGGTTCTTTTTTTTGTCTTTTTGAGACAGGGTCTCACTATGTAGTTTGGGCTGGCCTTAAACTCACTTTGTAGCCCAGCTGGCCTCAAACTAGCACCAATCCTCCTGCTCCAGCCTCCCAAGTGCTGGCATTACAGATGTGTTTCACCATGCCTTGCTTGAACACTCTTTTATAATGAACAATAAACCAAATAAAGTTATAAAAGATTTGTAAAAATATTTAAATATGTAGAACTGAGAATTTGGAAATTATAAACTTATCAAATACACCATTAGTTGCCCATAGAAAGAGAATATAAACTAGTAAGAATTATAGTTCTGTTTTTTTCACTGAAGAGAGAAATCAGGTTTTACAGTATAAAGTGTTACAGGATCATCAGGACTGTATGTCCCCTCCTCACTTGGTGATGTAAGAGTCCCAAGCAGGAGTGAAGATGAACTTGCACATAGTCAAACCAAGTGATTGTGGGAAGTCAAGGTTGGCCTCAGCTGAGGGCTCAGTTCAGAGTCTGTCCATGCAGCACCGCCTCTAGAAAAGTCATACACGTACTGCCTTTTGTGGACTGAATCTTATTTGTAAGCTGAACATTTTGTAAATGAACTACTCCTCTTGGGCTTTCCTTGTACCTTTGTAGAAAGGGTATAAGCTTTGGATTCAGATAGGCCCTGGGTTTGAATCTCAGGAGTTTAGTTTATCTATCATATATTCTTGGGAAGAGATTTTTGTTTGTTTGTTTGTTTGTTTTTTCCGGTACTGGGAATTGAACTTACAACCTTATGCTTACCAGGCAGGCACTGTGCCGCTGAGCTAAATCCCCAGCCCCTCTTGAGAAGAGATTTTAACCTCACTGATTCTTAGTTTTTTTGTGAGAAGTTATTCATGTATATTGAGGGAGATTTGTGTTTTTGTTTTGTTTTGTTTTGTTTTTTTGAGACAGGGTCTCACTATGGAGTTTAGGCTGGCTTTGAACTTGTGGTGATTCTCCTGCCTCAGCCTCCCAAGTGCTGGGATTACAGGTGTGCACCACCATGCTCAGTTTACTCAGATTTTAAAAATACTAAATATTTGGCATAAAACAGACCCTTGACAAATAGTTTTCTTTCAATTTATCTAATTTAAAACTTGTTTAATAATTGTTTATCCCAAATTTACTTAACACACAAAATCAAACCAAGAAATAAAATTGTTTAATCATATTTAAGGCTTCAAAATATATCTCCTACTGAAAGTGAATAAGATTACAATCCTTATATCAGATAGGTCACTTTAGAAAATATAATCTCTTTGACCTTTAAAAACTCACATTAAAATATCATGAGAACTATAGCAAACTTGTAAAAATCTTATAGAATGTATTCTAGGACCTAGGTAATTAGTTTTCTGCAGAAAATAAAAGTCAGGGGGCTGGGGATTTAGCTCAGTGGCACAGTGCCTGCCTGGCAAGCGCAAGGTTGTGAGTTTGATTCCTGGTACTGGAAAAAAAACAAAAAAAAAGGAAAAAAAAAAAAGAAAAGAAAAGTCAGGAAAATCTTCCTGCCTTCATGGTAATTACTTCCAATGTTTTAGCAAAATAGGTCCTTCAGTGTTTCTGTCTTGGAAAAAACAAGAAAAAAATAGAAATGAAATAAAAGCAAAACTTAAAAGCCATTGTCAAACTATCATTAAGTCACAATTTCTGTAGTATTATCGGTGCCTTCTTTCCCTGCCAGTCTGCTCTCGCTGCGGATGAAATAGTATTTAATCAGAAGGAACTAGAAGTGAAGGAACTGAAGAATCAAGTACAAATGATGACACAGGAGAATGAAGGATATGTTGTATCTTTGGAAGAAGCACAAAAAGTGAATAGATTACAGGTAAGATTTCTTAATTTATCTAGCTCTGTAAATGTAGTACCGAACTAAATGGAGTAGCTTTTTTTTTTTTTTTTTTTTTTTTTTT